TGAATTCAGCATCCCAATTCTGGGAATTTACACTATAAAACAAATCCCACTTATAGACAAAGATATTCACTATTGAATTGTTTATAGCAAAATGTTACTGGAAACAATTTAAACATTCATCAGCAGGCGACTGGTTAAATAAATTATGGTACATTCAGTCAAATGGAATATGATGTGCCCATTAAAAAGATCCAAACTCAGCTGGCTGCGCCAACTTGTAGTTTCAGCCACTTGGGAGGCTGAGGAAGAAGGATCCCTTGAGCACAGGAGTCTGAGGTCAGGCTGAACAACATAGTAAGACCCTGTCTTAAAAAAAAAAAAGGATTGTACCCTCAGGAGACACTGTGATGTCTCTCTGGACGTCTGTGGCTGTCAAGACATGGGGACAGCCACCAGCATGGTGCAGGTGGAAACCAGCGATGTTGATCAACACTCTGCCATACCCAGGACAGCCCCCACTCCAGAGAATGATCTGTCCCCACATCCATCCACAAATGTCATCACTGAAGAATTACAACTGAACTGTGCCTTCCGAGACACATTTAACAAAAAACACAAAGTACAATACACAGGATTACACAGAGTGTGCGATCACTGTGCCCATGTATGCTTAATCATTGTTTTGTTTGTTTTTTGGTACCAGGGATCGAACTCGGGACCTTGCACTTGTGAAGCAGGGGGCAGAACCACTGAGCTAAATCCCCGGCCCACCATGCATGTTTAAGGGAAAAATGTAACCATATTTTGGGGCACGAACATTAGGAGTCGGTGACAGTCCCTGTCTGGCAAGAGTGGAAAGGGGTGGAAACTGACTTTTCCTTCTACCAGTTGGACTTTGTACCCTGTCCATCCAGAGGATTTTGAAAACACTTGCTCTAGGCACAAATTTTCCTTGCCCCTGAGATATCTGGCAAGAATCCTGGGTCCACGGCCTCGGGACTTAGTTCCTACACACACACAGAGTTTTAAAAGGGAAGAGGAAGAGGGAAGGGTCCATCCACGTCCCGGGACGGCCTCTGGACGCTCTGTGCTCCTCCCAGGAATGTCGCCCACCCTTGTAGAGGGCACTTGGGGACCCTGCAGACACCACGGCCCGGGCCGCCTCGCAGCGCCCTCTCCCCGCCATCCTCGGTTCCCCTCGCCAGCAGGGGACAGGCAGCGGCGGCACCCCCTCGGTCC